AGAATTCTGGCGACCGGCTGCTCGACCGGGAGTTTTCAGTGGCCTCTCCCAACACCAGGCTGACGCCGGAGCAGTGCCCTAACAACCGAGCTATCCTTCCTCTTCCTTCTTCTATCCTCGTCCCATACACACCTACACTATCATGCACTTCTACACTAGCACACATGTTGGAAACCAGCGGGCAGCTTAGAGCTGGACCAGCTGGGCGGTGCCCCCTTGGTGACCCCCTGGTGACCCCCCTGGTGCTTTGAGGGAGAGAAGCCTCGAAAACTGACGTTTCGGCATCGGATCGCCCATTGCAGGACGGGAGAACGCCGTTCCCGCCCGGAATATAATGCGCACAATGACCTTAGGAACACACCCGTCCATGACCCTACCCTTTTTAACACTCTCTTTACTCATTTTCAATAACGTTTGCAACACAATGACGCGTGGCTCCGTCTACATACTTGTAGAAGTTATTGCGTGAACTAAGATATACTTAAATTTGTATGGTTCCATATACTGGCGGAATATTGAGACCGATGACTCAAATATCTTTCTTTTTTTTTGTTATTTTTTAAGGTCGCATCAACTACTAGGTCATTAGCGACCATTATTGCGTATAACGGTATGGTAACTATGAGTATGACACGATATGAAGATGATAGGGGTTTGAAAGTACCACCACAATACAACCATGCCCGAGGCGGGACTCGAACCCGCGATCCTACCTTAGCAAATCTCAGCCATCCGGACCATCTCAAATTTCTTGTTCTTGGCTTTGGCTTGCAATTATGAGGGTAAATAATACATTGAATGATGGTGTATTAAGCTTTCTACCTTTATCTTCTACACAACTATCAGATCTATCAGACATTTGCAGACTCGACTCGCGCCCCACGCTCCCGGCCCTTGAGGAGGGCCCGCCTCTGGTGGCCTTCCCCTTGCCGCCAAAGGACTTCCCGCCCCCTCGCTGGCCTCCCTACGTGTGTGGTCCACCTGGCCCATTGGAACGACGTTGCATTATCTTACGTTTCTTTACCACCACCTCTTTGTTTCATCTTCTCATCATTTTACATACTTTCCAGCATTTCATTTCCTAATCTCGTTTTTCAACCAACCCCTCTGGCGACGCCACCCAAATGCATCTCATTTACTCCTGGAATTTAAATATCTCTTGTTTTCCGAAACGATACAAAAGATGGGAAAATAAACAACATGAAAGTAAATTGCTCAAAACTAATTTGCATTTGGCAGATAAAAGAAAGTTAAGAGAATAAAAGCGTTTTAAACGAGGAAAGAGATTGGTTTAAAAATGTAACTTGGAGTCTATACAATTCCGAACTGCACTTCGGCTTGCGGGTTTTTGCCCAACAAGATATCTCTTGTGCGGCATCTCCCCAACCCACACAGCCTCTTAGCTCTTGAGTAGCCTCCATACACGCCTGGTTTTGTAGTGCATGTAAGTGTGTATGTGCGAAAGTAAAAGTATATAGGATAAGCAAGAGGAAGGAAAGTCTACGCGCGGTCCGTGGCCTGTTTGGCAGGGTACTACTCCAGCAATCACCTGGTGTTGATCGGAGAAAGCACGAAAAACTACAGATCAAAACATCCAACAGCTAGAATTCTCCTTCAGATAGTGACTGAATTCGACCTAGCTTATAAACTATCGTTGAAAATCCTGCCGCCGCCGGAACTCGAACCAAATATATCCTGGTCGTAGGCATTGCAATGACACCAATTGATACCCTAAGCCGCTAAATGATGTAAAAGGGTGACAAGATGGGCCTAGAAATATAGTTATGCAATATAGTTAAACATCTGCGATTTTTAAAAGGGGCATCAAGTACCATGGGGCTAACAGATTGCCTTACGTATCCATATACCTGGGTAGCATAGATGTATATATTTCAAAGTTAATATTATTTATCAATCGCCAACATGAGTGATATTGATGAACTTGATTCCTACGACCTATTCGTGTAAAAAAGATAGTGTTTCATTGATAAAACGAAGCTAGTCCAATATCTTTAAAATAAAAAATGCTATAAAATATTTAATAACTACAACAGTTTAGCCCCTATATCCGGAATTGCTTGATAAAAATCCCATCTCAATATATTTTACCCTTTCTAAAATATTCGACGGACTTTCTGAATAATTCTGTGTAATTATAAACGTCTGAAATAAAATTTTACAGATTTATTTCTTTGGGAAAAGCAAAAATATCTTATGAAAGCTATGCTTTAATTTTATAAAGAGTATTTTAAACTTTACATTACACTGTTTATCTTTAAACGACAAAAGCTCTCAAAAACTATTTTAATATTTATCAAAAATTGATTTTTAATGTGCTAACCCCTTCCTAATACATTCTATAAACGGAAACAAATAGAATCATTACAATAGGCCTTGATGTCTCGCAAAAGAATAACGCAAAAACTGGAAATGTTTCATGTCTGGCTTTTTCATGACTTCGAAATGCTGGGAAGTTTGTAATCATACGTTATCTCTGCGGCGGTTTCTACCGATCGATGCCAAGTTTGCCCTTGAGAGAGGATGTGAAATTCTCAATTTTATGCGTTGTTCTCTTCCTTCGAGAAAACAGGAGATACAAAACAAGGGAGATGGGGGATGAAAAACGAGATAAAAACGTCAGGACGCTAGAGCGTTTCCCTTCACAAATGGAACAGCAAAGCAGGTTATTGGATATTTTTGACTTAGTCTTCTTTTTGAGTTTCGTAAAAACAGCATCTCTGCGTTTTTGAAAGATATAAAAGATGTTAACCATTCACGCTGAAGACTTGTACGCTAAAAATCACTTTCTACTACAGGAATAATTTACGGGTGTGAACATGAATTATTCATTCCATTCACATTTCAGCGTTACAAAATAATTGATCTATCTTATTTCTATGTAAAGATGATCAGTTGATCTTCCTGATACATTATCTTAAAATGTTTCGGCTATTCTTTCACAATTCTCATCTCCTCAGTAATTACATGCCAAACTGTCTCTCATATTCGCAACTTTCTGGACATATATAATACTTTTATTGTCCATCAGAAGATTGGGAGTTTTTGAATCAAAAGCAAGGATATTAACTTATGCCTCCTGTAGGAAAATATATGATTCGCGATGTCAACCGGATGTGAAAATAAGGAAATATTCTTTGTTATAATCTAAACCTTTCTAATAATGTGATAGGTTTTAACATAAGATTTGCACAGACTAAGGAACTATCGTCGGTTCACCAAAAAAAATGCACATCTCATAATTAGTCGTTAGTAAGTTCAGAGCAAAATCTCATTAAAAAATATGGGGTATTTTTTACTCATATACATTTTATAAACAAAGTTAACAAAACAGTGAGTATGTAGAGTAAAACACGTTTTCTTTTGCCACGAAATGAAAATCTGTCAGAATGAAACTATTATTTTTACAGAGGTAATTGTTTTGATGAGGACGTATCTTGTGCACGACTGACTGAAAAAACGTAATTAAAATTATCTATACCAAAAGACATTCCTTTCATTGATAGATTTAAAGAATATTAGAACTCGATTTATCTATTAATATTCTGAATCCACTTTTTGAAACCATTCGAACGCGACTAGCCCCTGCATCGATCTCCTCGGAGGCCCAAACCAGGCCATCGCGTTCTGCGCACCGTCTACTCCAGTGCGAGCAGGGGTAATCCGACCTGTTGTTATCTGGTTCGTCGCCTCTCATTCCTTCCCTGGCCCTTCGCCCCGCACTTTCCCACCCCGCTCTGCTCCTCCAATCCCCGCCCCGCTCCGTTCAACCACGCCGCGACCTGTACTCTGCCGTCCGTCCTGCCCAGCTCGGTCCTACCCTGCCC